GCATTTGATGAACACATTTACTCGCATTCTGATAGATAATGATTACGAAATCGAATGAAACGTCCAGAGTTAAAATCAAACTTGAGAATACGGACCACGCATTTAATGGTAAACTTTATCGGCGTAACAGAATTTCATATATTCCTGGCGAATATGTACCAGGGAGACGTAGAAGAGGGCGATAACTGGTTCACGGCATTTTTTTTTTTGTTAATTTGCTGCATTAATCGAGGATCTAGTTATTATCAGGTAAATTAAAAGGTTAAAAGCTTATTTAATAATGCCAAGTCCTTGCATCCTGAACTGGCAACCCAAGGCGATTCCTGCAGGTTATTCGAAAAACGAGCTGCGATGAAACGGAGTAAAATAAAATATTGTATGTGATTTAAAACATATAATGATTGAATAATCATAGAGGACGGATAAAAGTCGCATGTGGAAAAACCCAAGAACCCCAGACTAAAGTGCATTATTCAATTCTCTTATGCTTCTCCTCATTCTTAGTATCATTATCGTTATTATTATCATCTTTATTTTTATTAGTATATGATCAGTATTATATATATTCTATTTATCATTGTATGATCTTTGACAAGGCCAACTCTTCTATACCCTTGATCTTAAAAAGAGTCCAAACTCCGTTTTCTGTCTCCAGTTCTCGAGAAGGGAAAATGGGTAAGCTCAAGTGTAGAGTAATGTACGTTACGTCAGGTTCTCAAGTGGCTAAGTGGCTCCTATTCTGGTCTTTAAGCAAAGAGAGACAGGTTATTAGTACACAGTGCATAGTTCTATTTTGCGTATGTATGTTTATGCAATTGATAATGGTGTTGCTGATTTTCGGTATTTTTGACATTATTCTTCCAAACTTGAATCTACCTTAATGATGAATTTGTTTTTCATATCATTTGGTATTCTTGAGTTATCGGCTTTTTTTTTATTTCTATTTCCTTTTGTAATTCACGTTTGATTTTGAGTTTTCTGTAAAGCATATTTTTCTCGTTATCTCTGTTTTTGTGTCATTGCCACTTCTGCGGTTTCTTTGGTTTATATTTGAATTTCTGAGTTTGTCTTTATCTGCAATGGTGAGTTTTTCCTTGTTCTCAAATTCTTCGTCACTGCACCCCCCCCAAAAAAAAAAAAAACGAAAAAAAGAAAAGATGATGTTAATAATGATAAATAAATGAATAACTTCTTTGCCTTGTTCCATATTAGCCACCTCTCCTTTCGTGTTTAGGACAACGGGCATTCATAATAATGATTCCATGACCATACAAGCATCACCATTTCGTCAAACACTTACGTTTACAGGAGCTCTGTTGGCATTTAATTTTCGGTACCCCGTCAGCAGCTGAGAGGAAAAAAAAGTTTAAGTTTCATGAAATTTTAACACAGCTTGGCATTTACTCTCCCCCCCCCCCCGCCTCCTTACCTTCTGCTTAACATCTCATCATCATTTGGTATCAGCGCTTATGCCGTGGTAGTTCAGGGACTCGAGAATATTCGTGAATATAGTCGTGACGATTTTTTTTCTTTTATTTACATTTTTTTTTTTTTTTTTTTTTTTTTTTTTTTAATGGACAGGCTCTTTGCCACTTCAGAATTCGTTCGTGTGAGGTCGGCCATAATTATTTCTAAGAGTACGTGGTCCTCATTGCTATCATGGATTATTCGTCCGTGTCAAAATCTCATTATTATATATATGCTCTCTATACCGAAACTACACATATCTCTGCCCTGTTTACTTATAATCTACACGCCACCATAACTACCATGCTTATTTTTTCCGATAAGCTCATCGACTAATGGTGTATCTGCGGTAGGCTTCCCACGTATCCTGCAACAGTATTGTTACACTGATACAAATAATCATAATAAACATAATAAACCAGTCATAATAATAAACCATAAACATAATAAACCATAAACATAATAAACCATAAAAATAATAAACCAGTCATAGAAATAATAAACCAGTCATCCAATTCTACACTCCACTGTGTATATTTTAAGAAGTGTTGATTTGACATTGAAGTTGTGTGATGTTCTGCTTGACAGTCGGTTCTACATATTTAAAGAAGTATTGACTTAACATTTAAATTTTGTGATGCTTATACCAGAACTATCAATGCTATAATCCACTGTTTATGTTTAAAGGTGTGTGGATTTGATATTTAAGCTCCGTGGTGTGTGTTTCTCTAGGATTTGTGTGACCGAGATGGCACTCTGGTCAGTCGCGCTGGCTGTGGCACTGGTGACGACGAAGGCGAGGTCGACCCAAGATGACCTAGGAATGAACGGTGCCAAGGATGACCCGCGAGGAGGACTCTCCTTCATCCTCCCTGCGCCATATAAGGTCAGGTCAGCTGGAAATGCGGTTTGAATTAGACAGTCTTCATCGGGATTCTAAATTATCTATTATTTTTACTTTTAGCAACTCTTTCCCTTCATTTCTTAATACTTTCTCCCCTTCCATTCACCTTATGGCATTTCCATAAACTAA